CTGTCACTTTTGATCAATTTAATGTATCTTTGCTGAATAAAAGTATTAATTTATTTAAAAAAAACAAAACTTAATGATCTCAAACTTTTGAATGACAGTTTAGTATTTTAATATATAATAATATATATAATAAGCGATTATCAGTTTTACTGGAAATTCTGCTTTTTCTCAAATTACATTCAAGCAAAAAACTCTTGCTTTCCAAGATGTCTCAAGAGGTTCTGTGAGAAACAAACCGATCTTCCTGGATGCATGTCAAGATCATTAGTGCCTGCTCTTTGTCCTGCATTGGAAAGTTCACAAGTGGGTTTGTAAGGCAGCCATAGTCTTTGACCCAACAGAGGAGAAAACACCATCCCAAATACCATTCTGTGTGCATGGTCTCTGATAAGAGCATCATGTCAATGTCTCATCCTCCCAGATACGCAGCACTTCTGGGACTGATCTTAAGGTTACCCAAGCCTGTAATATCCCAGCAACATGCCGACCTACATGAGCTAATAAAAATGTCATCTTGAACTTCTTTGTATAATTTACGCTCTACCTCCTCTCCATTGTTCTCCTCTGTGAATCAACAACAGATTTATCAATGATCAGGCCTATCTGGCTCAGAGCTCGTCCTTGGTTAGACTGTATTTTCAGATGGGTTACGTCAACATTAGCGACCTATAAAAAGCTGTGTTCTCAAATGCTGTTCTTGTCTGCCATTCACTTGTTTCATCCATTATGTGGCAATAACATCTTGAACATCACACTCAGCTTCAGGTGCTCTACAGAAGAATCAAAAGGAAAACAGGAACACTTGTCTGTCAACATATAGTTGCTTGTTTCCTCTTGAAGCCTGTAAACGGACATCATCGTCAATGACTTTGTCCACATTTCCTTTGTCTCAGAGTGAGGCCTGAAGAATGGCCTGTCTCTGTGGCCATCTGTGTAGTTTTAGGTTGTTTTAATCTATTTATTTATTAATTGTATACAATTGGATAAAGTACAAAATAGTAATGATAGGTAAACAAATGAGCTTCTGGCTCAAGGCTGCAGCGGCTTGATGGACATGGTATTTAAAGGGAAAGTACACCCAAAAATGAAAATTCTCTCATCATTTACTGACCCTCAAGTTGTTGCAAAAAGAATGTTGGTAACCAAACAGTTGACGGTAGCCATTGACTTCCATAGTATGGAAAAAAAATAATGTGAAAGTCAATGGCTACCGTCAACTGTTTGGTTACCAACGTTCCTCAAAATATCAACAGCTGAAAGAAATGAATACAGGTTTGGAGGCTAAGTAAATGATAGTAGTAAATGGTGACCAAATGTTTATTTTTGGGTGAACTATCCCTTTAAATACCATGTCCATTAAGCCAGATGCTCATTTGTCTACATTTTAAGATCATATTTTATACTTTATCCAATGACATATAATTAAAAAAAATTAATTGTTGATCTCTGATCAACACAGTGGTCTTGAATAATTCTGTTTTTTAATGAATCGCGTCACTGATACAGTGACACATTCCTAAACATCATTTCAAGGTAATTTGCTTCATTCCAGAATGTGTCACCCTACCTGTCTCTCACCATGAGAAATCAAGAAAAAAGAGCATTTTTGCCATCATAAGGCTCGGTGTTTATTGTTTGCAGCTTTTTCTGTCCCTTTCTGTGCATTGGTCAGAAATGTGTAGCCGTTCCAAAAGATAATGAAAATGTCACAAGGTCAGGAAGAGTTTTACTGGATGCCCCGCAAACAAGATTATGAAATGTCGTTTTATTTCTGGAGCAGAAGACGACACTGAGATTCCAAGGAGCAGCTTGTCATTCCTGTAGGACCCTAGCAAATGCTAGAAACCACTCAGACCATGACGATTCATGTCACACATTTACATTTCTTATTGCATTTCTAAAAGGGGTCGAATGGAATGACAAGTATGCAATTGACTTCATGTTCCTAAACATTTCATCCTCTCTTTGCTTATTGTTGGATTCAGGTATTTGGTCAACAGGACAGACAGTGTGAATTTTCATATCTTGTTCCTGTTTATTGGTGCATATCAGAGTTTGACACAGACATAATGGGAACATTGACCCCGGCAGCGCTGCGGATACGTCTGTTAATAGCTGGCTGTCTCTGTTTCTGCTGAGCGTGTGATTAATAGCCTCAGTGGTATGTTGATGACAAACAAAAACAGGAACTGTAAACTTTTATCTCTCGCTCTCTTCTCTGACTCCCGTTGAGGAGTTTGCTGTATAATTTATGTCTCCATTACATATTTGCCATTCTCTAGGCTTTTTTGCATCATCGTGATGAAGACAGATATGCAAATGAATCGCACCAGCTGATAGCGTTGTTTATTTGCATGCATTCTTGGTGTTGATTTAGCACCAGATGCACTGATGGAATTACGTAAAAGAACGGAAACAAGCCCAGATTTGTACAGATCCCAGTTTGAGACCGATAAGAACCAGTGGCTTCTAAACTATCTTGGTTATTTTACAGCTGCCTGCCAAATAAGAATATTGGTTTTATTATTTTACTTGTAGATTAGTTTAAAAATCCTCCTAAAAACACAGTCCATTATAGCAGTTGGCCAAAAAACAAGATTAAGAGTGCAGCAATAAAATAATAAGAAATTATTATTATTAACCTACAACATTTTTAATGGACTAGTTAGCAAACATGTTTAGAAGGAACATCTATGCTATGGTGGAGCATCTATTTTATTTCAATTCTTTGAGGGAA